TAAAAATCTGTTTTCTAATAATTTTAGATCTCCAAAACTTTTACCGTTTTCTTACGATATTAAAAATTCTTGGGCTTAAAATTACCACAAAATTCGATATTGTAAGAGAACGCCCACCATCTGAGATATTTTAATGATGTTTTCGACAAATCTATATTTATAAGGGAAGCACGAAATTTTACAAAGAATTTAAAAAGTCACTTGTTTGAGAAATTGCACGTGCGAAAGTTGAACGCCATCATTTAAGTTTAAAAACGTTGAAAATACGTCCAAAACTTCACAAGTTATTGCCGTTTGAAAAATTAAACATTCAAATTTGTTCAATTTCTCGCCAACCCAATGCGCCAAGCATGAGGTTTACTCAGAAATATGAATCCTTGGTCTAGGGCCCAATAAGATTCGAAACAACAAGAGTACCCTGAGCGCGAGGAGCAGTTGGGAACATTCCCTTGTCAGATCTCCTTGCTAATATAGTAAATACTGGGTAAACCTCAAAGGAACCCTATAATTGCTACATATATTTCAAGATTTCAAACTACATTTTGTAAAATTTAAATTCCAATTATTCTACGGCTGATTTTGAAAATAATTATTTCAGAAGTTTTCAGGGTTGGAATTGGTTGGAATTGCTTTCACCCAGTTATTTCAAACAATTTAAATATCTTAAAAATTGTAACAAAATTGTGAAGTTTTGCATGTACTGCAAAGTTGGAGAGATTTTTTCAAATACAATGTCCTGCAAATATTTTTTTAATGAAATTATGAAAAATATTGAGGGGGAAAATATTTTCACAAAATTTTAACAAGTACTTAGATCTAATTTTCTAGATTAGCTAGCCTTCCCACATATTTGGATATATGCAAAGTGTGAGGGAAGGCCAACAAGGTTTACTGGTTTTTGTCCACCACAATTGTCTCGTAATTTCATCAGGGTTTGAAAAAAGTTCAATAATATCTAGTGTAAAGGGGCACAAAATTTCACGTGGGCACGGGCCCACTTGTGCCCACTACTAGCCCCGCCACTGGCCAGGTGGCGTGGGCCTCGACTTGCTTCCCTTTTATCGAATTGTAATCCACAGTTTCGCCAAACCCACTTTAGAAAAGCAGGTAGCGATCCGTATACCCGGGTGTCACCACTTGGAGGGATTTCCAATAATTCACCATTCCGCTGGAAGATTTAAGTGAAATTGGAAATTTTAAATAACATTGGCAAACTTAATTAAAATGTTAAAATTTTAAATAGCTAAAAAATCTATACGTGTTCTCAAATTTACTGAATAATCAGGTATACTATTTTATTTAGTGAAACACTTTGAAAATTATGCAATTAAAATTACATACATTGTTAGAAAATGGCTTTTATCCAGAAAGTACGACGTTACTGTCATGGTTATAAATTTGTCACACACTGGTAACAGTTTTCAACCAATGGTAATGTAATTGGAATCTGTGGTGACAAATTTATAACTACGGTAGAGTAATATAAATATATAAATATTCACCTTGGTTATAATCTTAACCGAGTTTCCAAGAATGAATATTTTCAATATTCTTGAAATGTTCGTGAAAAATAATTAATGTGGCCCGTCTTCAGAACGGGCTTTTAGGCTAGTATTTTCTTATTTCCAAAATGAATACATACCTCACATCATTAGCCATTTTACTATGGTGAGTTTCTATACAATTCCCAGTGTATAGTGTGCGCTTTGACTTCTGTCCAGCTACTAATTGGCAACCTGCTAATTTGAATTATATAAAGGTTTTATCTGGTTAAGGATTTGGAGCAGGTGGCAAGTATGGACTCGTTTATATTTCGGGAGCAAACCCGTACCGTGATGAGGTCCCCATTATCCACATATGGATTTAGTAAAGCTGCAAATTCTTGCAGAGATAAAACACAAGTACAGCACTTATGGCGCATCAGTAAATCATTTTTTATACAGGCGTGTCAACCTCTCGCAAAGGTAAATTACCATTCGATTACAATGCATAATTTACATATAATAGGTATGTAACATCGACTTGTCACAAATGTATTAATCTTTGTTAATTTCGTCACAATCGAAGAGAGTTCTTCACACAAAATTCAATATGCTTTATTAAATCAATTCATTAATATGCTGTATATGCATATGCTTAACGGAAGGAAGGTGATTTTAACCAAAATTTCTTAAAGTTAAAATTGCATTAGACATTTGTAAATATTTTCAGCAAAATTGTACACTCTCAGAAATTTGATTACCAATGTGACCAGATAAATACTTTTTTGCAACTGAAATAATTATAACCAATATTTTTACCTAACCTTATTTGCATAAATATATAAACGCAAACCGAGTGTACATAATTGCGGAACCTATGTATTCAAGATTTAAGCGGTGCAACGATTTTCCACGATGTATCAGCAGAAAATGAATGCCTGTTTCTGTTTCGTTTAAAATCCTGATTATCATCGCGGGCATCTACAAGCCATAACTCGGCGTCATAGTGGCGAATATAGTGATGCGGGTAATTCAATGATATAAAGTGTATTTCACTGGGGTCAGAGTTAATATAACCGCTTTGAACGTCGCATCGGCTCTCATCAAGGCAGATCCGTCGTCTTGACTGAGGACGATTCGGTAGTCCTTATGTCTCAAGTAGTACCTGTTCAAAAAAACTTTTTCATTCAAAGTTCAGTCATCCCTACATATTTCTGACTGAAGATTTTCATTCACACTCAGTCATTTTCTATCAAACTCATTTCATTTCACTTCACTTCATCTGACTTCATTTCTTACTTCGCACCATGTATTAAGCATATGGTGAAAAACGAAATGAGTGACAAATCCTTTCATTCACAGTCACTCCTCTGAGATGACTGAATCTTTCACTCATTTTCATCCAAATCACAAGAAATTCATTTTCATTCAAATCACAAGAAATTCATTTTCATTCAAATCACAAGAAATTCATTTTCATTCAAATCACAAGAAATTCATTTTCATTCAAATCACAAGAAATTCATTTTCATTCAAATCACAAGAAATTCATTTTCATTCACTATCATACCCTATCAAAATCAGTCAGATGGATGAAAGTCAACAGGTATGGTTTCAAATATCTGTAGTACCCTGTACGATAAGACTCGATCGAGTAGAGGTCGCTCCTGGCGAGGCCAGGGACCAGTCGCCAGGTGGCGTAGGCCTCGACTTGTTTCCCTTTTATCGTATTATAGTCCACAGTTTCTCCAAACCCAGTGTAGCAAAGCATGTAGCGATCCGTGCAGCCGTGTGTCAACACTTGGAGGGACTTCCAATTGTTCGTCATTCCACTGGAAAATTTAAGTACAGTTGCAAATTGTAAATAATTAAAAAAAAATCTACGTGTTCTCAAATTTACTCAAATTTTATTTACGAAAAACTTTGAAAAGTATGTATGAATACAATTCAAATTACACTTAGAAAATGACTTTGAGCCAGAAAGTAGACATATTTATGAGTGACGTAACTGCCATGGTTACAAATTTGCCACCCACTGGTTACAATTTGCAACCAATGGTAATATAATTAGGGGCCGTCCACAAATTACTTAGCCCAAAAATCGCGATTTTCTAGACCCCCCTCCCATGCCTGGAATTTCTTACCCCACCAACCCGCAATGCGGGGAGAACACTTGGAGAAAATACTGATTTTTTTTTCAATAGGGACAGATATTAAACTAAAAATTATTAATAAACCGTAGTAACGTTAGAAGTAGCTCACCCTGTCATAATGATTTGCATATAACTTTCCACCAAAGGTACGGAATAAGTCGACAAAATAAATTACAACTCATAGATTCTTGCACCAATAGTGCAATATAAACGGAAAAATATTTTTAAAAAAATCCGGGATTATTTGGCACCACTAATGCAATATTTGCGACCAACGGGATCATTTTGCATCATTGATGCGTATGGCATCCAGTTCCCAATTATTTATTGTAAAATTTATATATTTTAGCGCCAATGGTTCAGAATAATCGAACAAATAGAACAGAATTTTGACATAATTTTTGGAGGGGAATAGATGGCCTAATTGTTACGCATTATTTTTAATAACCAATTGCTCGGTACTAACGGTGCTACGTATTCCAAAATTATAGTCCTATCTCGATCTATTCGCTGAATTAACTTGCACCATTTGCATTAACGATTGTTTGATACCAGTAGTGCTCCTCAGTCCTGTAAAACTGGAGCAGGGACTTATTAATTAGCATCAATTGATGCAAAAAACTCGTGAACACACAGACAGACGGACGGACGGACGGACGGACACGAGGAATTCAATAGCTCCCGTGCTACGCAGGGTGAGCCAATAATGATAAAATGAACGATGATGTTACTCAAATCAGTCAATTTACATCACATCGACCTTAGCAAGTTAAAATCATACTTTTTACACATGATAATCATAGAAATCAAATAATTAAACAAGTAATTTCAATATTGACCACCTTCAGTGTAGCAAAAAAATTGGAAAAAATTGAATTTTCCCTGTTTTCAGAGAACATTTTGAAAATTAGTGGGGAGAACACTTCCAAATTCATGTAAGAAATTCCAGGCATGCCCCCTCCCCTCTTTAACATGCGTAACATTGGCACGATATCATTGGAGCCTTAGACCCCCCTTCCTCCCATCTTGCGTTACGTAATTTTTGGACAGCGCTTTAGAACCTGCGGTGACAAATTTATAACTATAGTAGAGTAATATTTCCTCTGGTTGTAATCTTAACCCAGTTTCTTAACTGGTTGATGAATATTTCCAAAATGAACATATACCTCACGTCATTACCCATTTTACTGGGGTCAGTTTCTATACGGTTCCCAGTGTGTAGTATGCGCTTTTAACTGCGGTCCAGCTACTAATTAACAACCTGCTAATTTGAATTATTATATTAAGGTTTTGTCTGGTTAAGGATTTATAGAAGGTGGCAGAGATAAGAGATGCATGTAAATAATCAGTTTTTCGGGACAATGAATAGATAAAAACAGTGGTCTTTAATATCCTTTTAATACTCTCTGGTTGATTTATACATGGGTAGGGATGCGAAATAATTTAATCAACGATACATATGTACCTTGTAATAATTTCGTAATAGTTACTACCGAATTCGTAATGTGTACAAATCTGTAAAGATGGTACTAACGGTTAAAGATTTAGTAAAACATCTTTATCATACATATCTTTTGAACATTGTAGTATAGGGGAGGGTGGGGTTGATACAATATGGGGAGACGATGGGGACCATTAAAACACCGTGGGGACATTGTCCATGTGACCCCACCCTTGCGCGGCCGATAACTTAAGTACACACACCACATTTTTATGTACAAAGTTGATCTTGACTGCGATCGATTAATAAATATTATAATATTTATTAGCCAACTTTTCTGACAGTCTAGCCAAAAAAGTTCGAAACATTTATGCTGCATACATAACTATTAAGAAAGCTGTCGAATGTTCCAGCGTCTCTTTTTAATTTCAAGTTTCAACTCTGGTAGAAAAACTCAAGGTGTTTAAGGATGAAATGTACATACACACAAAATGAATATATTTATTTTATATCAGATTTTTAAATAAACATTGGATGTGTTTTATTTGCATCGTTTTCATCATTCCAATCCTGATTTTGGAATGGAATGAAAATTTTTGCGTTTTATTTGTCATGGAAAAAATCAGGATTTGGAATGATTTTCACCGATGTTCATTCGGAATGAACTTGTTTTCCTTCCAACTCGCGAGCTGGAGTGAACATGGAATGATACGGTTTTTATAGCAGTTTTTCGGCTTTTCGTCAATTTCTTTATGCAATTAAAATAAATTAACTTTATTTTAATTTAAAAATTAATGTTTTCCAATTACAGGGTGGCCCTCAGTAACTGTAAGTGAAATGAAGCGCTGTAGCTTCAGCAGTTTTTGTGTTACAGATTTCTAGTAAATTTTAATGGAAAGCCAGTTAATTTTTAAGTAGAAAACAATTTTTGGTTTTCGAAATTTCCTCCCTCAACATTAATGCAGAGCTGAAGACGCGGTCTACAGCCCTAGATTGCAGCACGCTCGGAATCTGTGGACAAATTGCTCCATTTCGTGGTCAAAGAATTTTTTAAAGCTTTCAGACTTCTGTGAGGCTTAGAACACATCTTTGTCCCTAATTTTGACCGTTTTTCACAGTCCAGAGATTCAAATCCAACAAGGCGCATGACAATTCCCAAGCGGAGATAATGTTCGGAATTTGTTTTTTTAGCCACCCTTTGCTCATTTTTTGCTATATTCACTGGTACTGAGTCCTGTAGCGAGGTCCAGTCGACTGCATTGGCTTGGATCTCATTTACGGGATGTACCCCGGACTCAAAAACGTATTTCAAAGATTTTTTTTCTTTCACGTTCCCCCCCGTTTCGACAAAATGAGGAGAAATTACACCTAATCAGATCTCATCTGCAAAAATCATGACAAAACATGGATAATGGGAACGTTTGAACTTTTCTCTATATTCAGGGATATATTTGACCTATTTTGCGTGGACGAAGTCATTTTGTTTGTTTCAAAAATCCTTCACACTGAAAATCTGTTCATCTGGAACGAGAATTTTCTGTACTATTTTTTTAGCGTACCGCTTAAAGAGAGCTCTGCATTTCTTTAACCCTGTTTTCTTTTCAGGGATAATCAGCATGCGGTAAGTGCTACGTTTCAAAGCCTGAAGTCTAAGGTTCAGTTTGAGCACTCGTTGGATAATGTGCATCTACAATGTCAGCTGTAAGGCTATTTTCCGTTGGAATTTCGAGAATTTTTTCGGATTATAGCCTTCAGCGCCTTCACGATGGGTGTGGTCCTTGGAGGTTTTTAAAAAATCGTTCTTCGACTGTTTTTAGTATATACTGTCCCCATGAACGTTTTTATAGTGCGTTAGACTAAATTAAAGTGAGCGTTCGATTCCTATCACACTTTTCAAATTCACTGTTTTTCTTCGCATTTTTTTGTCAAAAATTATCGCCGGCCGTGTCCTTTCAAGTTTTTCCCTGCTGATATGCTTTGCAAGTAATTAAAAATGAACATGTGGTATTTACGTAAAATCGCACTGGGAATCCAATGCGCTTATCAGATCTTGATTATCTCCAGTGGTTTTGCCGTTAAGAGCTACTTACAGTTAGCATAAGTCCACTAGGTAATTCAAAAAATCAAAGCTAATTGAAATTCTGTTAAGAAATTCTATCAAATTTTATTTTAAAATTTACGTTCCAAAAATGCTGAGATGGGAGTTACCACTGTAAGATTTTCTATTTATTTTTCTAAAGATTTTGGGCGCATCTACAAACTTGATTAAAAATTTTACATATTTAAAATATGTAGCAAATTCAGCCCGATATGTTGATAACTTAACAATGAAGCACATCTTGCAGGACTGTTGTACTTAATTACTCCCTTAATTACTGACATCGAAGTAATTAGTAATTGATTTCAATTACTCAGGAATTTTTCAAGGTATTTAAGTATTCGAAGAACTCGAGAGTATTTAAAATTTGAAGTATTTAATTACTTGCCCAAGCAGTAATTGAATACTCAATTGTTGTGATCAATTACTTAATCGAGTATACTTGGAATAAAATACAAGTCTCCCCCTCCCGAACAACTCAAGATAATCATCTTTTGTTTCAATGTCGATTTCTTTGCATAATCTAGCGTAAAGATCCTAGGAGCAATTTTAAATGGTTTGTAAATCAAAAAATTTAACTACTAACTTAGTAGTTAGATTTTAGAAAAGTAGTTAGTAGTACTAACTACTTTTCAACTACTTTCAGCTACTTTTTAATTAGGTTCATTTAACTACCTTTTACGGTGTAGTTGAATGAAAGAAAAACTTTTACCTACTTTACTTAACCTCTTGTTAAAATCATTGAAATAAGAAAATTATTCACAACAGATTCATTGTAATTCCCCTAAAAACATTACATTCAGGCAGTTGAGATTTTTGCTGAATTTGATCTTGCATTTTATCACTTTCTGAGAATAATTAAGGCAGTTTGCTTCAACTAGAACACCATGAATTTAAGAAGATTTGAAAACCCCAATTTTTCATTAAAAAGATATTTGAGATTAGATTAGATGTAGTTAAAAAGTAGTTGTAAAGTAGTTAAAATGTAGTTGGTCAACTATACCATAGGAGAAAGTCGTTTAACTACATTTTCCAACTACTTTAAAAAAGTAGTTAAATCTTAACTATAACTATTTTTTGCAAAAAATTGTAGTTAACTACTACGAAACGCACAAATTTAATTTAACCAAATTAGTTTGTAAAATGCGTCAAATAAAACGCAAGTTGTTTTATCATCGCAACTTTTCACACCATTCCAAAAATCCGTTTTATTTGCGAGTAAAATCATTCCATTCTCATTCCATTCCATTCTCGTTCCATTCCATCCAAAAATCATTCATTCCATGGCAAATAAAACACACCCATTATCAAATAAATACTATAAATCATTAATATGACAGTACTCTTATATGACACTGGAAGATTCATCACACAAATCCTATTAAAAAATTACCATCTAAATCCTGCCAAAACAAATTACGTTACAGATAACATCAGGTTTATAAAATATGTAATTGCTTAAATACACCCAACTTTTACACATTTCAAATAATATGCAAGTCTGTTTTCTGTGCAAAAATAATTTGATAAATACTTAATCTCCCTCTGCATTGAATTATTTCCAAAAATGTATCATCTTCTTGCAATTAAATTAGCATTCGCCCCACCTTTTCGTGTACCGTCTGGTGACGCTTTAAACAAAACCTTCTTCCAAATTCTCGCCCACAAATCGAGCATTTATACATACCCGACTGGGCTATCACTGGGGGTGTCACGTGGGATGATCTCACGTGGGCGTCGAGTTGCACTTTCTCCGAAAATTTTCTGGGGCACAAACGACACGGGAACACTCTCAACCTGTGGACATTGATGACGTGTCTGTGTAATTCAAACAAAAAAAAATATTACACAATTATTTTCCGCCACATTGAACGTCACATCAGGCCCTTAACGTAAGGGGCACGTCCCCTAAATGGGGGTACAGACAGAACAAGCAAATTATTCATTCAAAGTTCATTAATTCAAGACCTTGAAAAAAAATTCATTCCTTATTCACTCATTCATAATTTGTAAAAAAATATTCATTAATTGCTCAACATTTATTCTTTACTCATTATTCCTTGATTATTCATGTTATTAAAAATTCCCAGTATTATATGAATTTCTCAACTTTCCCTGTATTGAGTTAAAAATGAATGATGAAAAAATATCCATTCACACGAATTGAATGAATATTCAGTCAATATTCATTTATTAAAAAATCTGAATAAAATATTCATTCAAATTTTGAATATTGAATGAATAATTTATTCATTCATCATTAAACGAATGAATGTGAACATGTATACCCCGCACCAAAGACCTTACCTAATCACGACGCTATTCCGTGCGAACTTTCTACCGCACATGGGACAACGATATCGAGATCCTGATCCGTTAATTGGGTATTTGCCTCTCCCGTTTTTCGACCCGGGACCAACTTTTGTCTCCGCGGTTGAATTAATTTCCAGCTTCGTTACTCCCACGTCCAGAGACTTCTGCGGGTTTGCATTTGGTCCTTGACTTTGTGGGGGACCTCCAATGAACACCTGACCATAGAAAATAATCGTCAATAAATAACATCACCCGAGAAAGAGGTACTAAATTTTTGCGTGATATGCCAATTTGTGCCACATGTTAAAAAGCCGTGTAACGCGTTTCAAGACGAGAGAGTCAAAAAATAGGAATTTCTCCTCGAAATAATTTATGCACATACCCTATAAGTTTTTTGTATTTCCTTGGATTTGTTTAAATGGAACGTTCATAACTTACGTCACGCAAAAATGCCGATTTGTCTTACCCCCGCCCTCCCCTATTGTCACGCGTAACACCCCTTCTAGGGACCATCCATGGATTACATCATCAAAAATTCCCGATTTTCGCACCCTCCAATGCAGCGCAAACAATAAGGGATAGGGAATTTTAACATGGGAAAGATAGGAACAACCAAACCACCCACGTAATAAAATGATGACGTAATACATATATGTACATTGAAAATAAGGTAGTAATGAATCATTACCATGCGGAATGACTATGTGGCTCCACCACGTCGGTTACGATTTGTCGTGGAAATGGTAATATTACCATTATTTAATAAGTTATTATTTAATAAGTGCAGGGAAATTCGAATTTAATAATAATGGTATTCACTTCCTTAATATTTGGTAATGAATTTGAATTTCCCTGAAATTATTATTACCATTTCTACGACAAATCGTGACCGACGTGGTAGAGCCACATAGTCATTCCGCATGGTAATGATTCATTACTACCTTATTTTGAGTGTATGTACGTTCCCTTAAACGCAAATTGGCAGGTCACGCAAAACTTTGGTATTCCTATCCCTATTCCTTTCCCGTGACGTAATTTATTGACATCCCCAAATACGTGTATTATATTTTCCTACCTGTGGGTGGTAATTGTCTTCTCGTCGTGGCGATGAATAATTTGGGTCTGGAATAATAATATCACCTAAGGGGTCGTCAGTCGGATGAATAAGGAGCCCTCGAACTTCACCCTCCTCCACTTCTTCCTCGTCGCAATATGAAAAATTGGCAGGAAGCATGTCATCATTTTGAAATTCGACTTTAATCTCTTGCTCGATATCGACATAATCAGCAGAATAATCCCGGTGCGGATGAGGAGATGATAACCTGGTAGAATTATCCGTGACTCTAATGTCATTCTGAGGGCTAGAGAGCTTACCTTAATGGGGGAGGACAAATAAAATTAGTTACTTCATTAAACAGCATTCCCGTTTTATGTAAATAAGAATTTGCAAGGTAAATTTTACGTATTAATTTTTTTATTATCGACGATAATAAAAAAATTAATATGTCATAAAGATAAATTATCGTTGTGTGGAAAAATGGGATAAATATACATATATTCTTACCAGGTACTTCAAAATTTGTCCATTTTACCAACTGCGACACCATCACTTCCAAAGAAGCCACTCTTTCCAGTAGTTCTTCCATACTATTTATTTTTATTTAGTATAATACCTTAAAGTTTAATTTATTTATTTATTCGTTGTGACGACGAACGAAATGTGTATGAATGTCTTTCCCAGGGAAGAGTCACAGCTGATTGTGCGCTCCAGTCCACTCACTCGGCAAAAAAGCCAGAGGGAACGTCCATGTATTACGTCATCATTTTCGTGGGTGATTGGTTTACGTCTTCATATCATTCCCATGTTAAAATTGCATATCCCTTAACGTTTACGTTGGGTTGGCAAGTTTCTAAAATCGAGAATTTTTGATGACGGAATATATGTATCGATAGCCCCTCCAAGTTATTTCAATGAACAGTAGCCGCTTTCAGGCCAAAAAATCAATATTCTGCAACAAAAACTACAAGTCTCATCTTGCCCTGAAGATTTCAAGTCACCCCAAAAAATTTCCCGCCACAGGGGAAAGTGAGAATAAGTTCCTAGAATTCTCTGACGTCCAAAAATGCAAAAAACATTTTGACCTCTTCTTATGACCTTAAGATATATACATTTGCTGGTCAAAAAGTTTGTGAATTCTTTATCAGCATAACAAACCCGACATTTTCGTGTATCACATTCCCCCCTTGGAGAGGGGTCCTTTGGCTTGTTTTATACCGAATAATTCATTCATTCATCATTAATTGAATGAGTGTGAACAGATATGTATGTCCTCAACGATCTTGAAATTATGTCTCGCTTTCCTCAAAATAAAGCAGAGCTAAACATCTAATTGCTGCTTGTATGTGGGCGTGTACCCTGTCAGTATCAGTATTTCTTTCATCGAACATGAGAACAGTAAAGTTTTGCTAACTTTAATTACGTATAAAGCAAGTTGACTAATATTTGTAAAGTTTTGCAATCTACTAATCCATTATCTAGGACCTGCAAATGTAGTATTTCAAACAAACATATCTTTATCGTTAATCTCACATCGGGAACATTTCACAATACATACGTATTTTTTCCTACCTTGTCCGCAATATCGTTTATTAGACATTTATGTATATTCGTTCACATCATATTTTTAGTTACTTCTATCGTTTAGATTCCTTCCCTATGATTTGCATTCTTGAAACAAAGTAAATACTTACAAGGGAACGTACCGAGGTGTCAACAAGTTGAGGGTCGACTGGTCGACACCTATACCAAAATGACCACATACATGACTTATTCAACAAACGGACGGAATTTGCGTGTAAAATTCGTCAAGTTGTGACGAAATTTATGAGGAGCGATGACCGTCGGGTTAGGAGACAGATCAGCCGCTGACGGATCAGGTCGAACCCATGTTGTTTTAAGAGGTCATTTTTTCAAGTTTTGAAAAAAAAAATTCTGAAATGCTGAAAAGCATTGAACTTCTGAAAAATTAAAACAAATTATGAAATTAAATAAAATGCAAATTTTGGAATTAAGCGAATTTTGAGAAATATTTAAAGGTGTGCAAATGTTTGAAGTTCGAGAAAATTTAAGTCTCTGAAGACAACATTTGATTGTTCCACGGCTGACCTCTCTCCCACTGGCAACCCGTTGGTCATGCGCTCGTCACATATATGTATCGTCACAACCTGACGAAGAGTGAATTTTACACGGAAATTCCATCAGTTTGTTTAATAAGTCCTGTGCTGTGGTCTGTTTGGTATAGGTTTCGACTCAACTCAATGCTGAACTTGTTGGACACCTCAGTATTTTCCCTGGTTAGTTGTTTTGAAAATAGTTGTTGGTAACATGTTGATCCACTTGGAAAGTAATACATACATAGATATGTACATATATGGGTGACCATCCGTCCCGGTTTAGCCGGGACATGTCCCGCTTTTCAAACCCTGTCCCGGCGTCCCGAAAACGTCCCGGTTTTGATAAAGTGTCCCGGTTTTTTAAATCGTCGAGAAAAATTAAATTATTTCACTTTTTCGCCAAAATATTGATGAAAAAGTACATTTTAGTACATAAATGCTAGTAACATGCACGCAATATTTACTTTAATTTCCTCTCCTGGCTCATTCTCAAAATTCGGTGACATCTGAATCGCCAAGCACTAGATATTATGGCAAATTTTTTCGCCAAGCACTAGATATTATGGCAAATTTTTTCGTCAAGCACTAGATATTATGGCAAATTTTTTCGCCAAGCACCGGATATTATGGAAAAAAATTTTGGCCCAAAAATGTCCCGGTTTTAGTCAGGACAAATATGGTCACCCTATGTACATACCTGAATGGTGTACATGACCATTGATGTCCGTCTTCATGAATGTGTTCTTGATCACGCGAAACATGTAATTGGTACCCAAATAAACTTATAATTGGAGGGTTCGAACAAAAAATACAGATTATAACTTTCAGTGCATCCTGGCGGAGCCCGACCACGGTTTGATTGTAAAATTACTCGCGTTTAATTTTTTATCAAAATTGTTCTTTATCCCATAGGGTCCACCCAGGTGAAAGTTTCTCCAATTTCAGTTAATATTCATCCAAAATGTAAAGGTCATTACCTATATATCCCGTTAATGAACTCTAAGCGTTCTAAAGTATTTTAAAAGTATTTCCCGTATTTATTACCTGCACAGGTTCAACCACTTGACCGACCAAGAACATCCTAGAACTCAAGTCCACATACTAAAGACATGACCTATGTACTTAACTGTGGTCAGGAGTTTAATTCCATCATGCAAATTTAAGGACAGTTAAAGGTGTAACATGTCGGAGAACGGGGAAAAGAGCAAAATAGGTTCCCAACGTCGGGTTAAAAACCGCAGTCTCTAAGGACACAAATATATGCATTAAACAATCTCTTTTATACCAATTTGCTCTAGTAATCGGGAACTTACCTTTCGATTCACGTCTTTAATACCCGGTTTTCTCCATTGAGTCCCCCTTCCCTAAACATGCCTGGGACTCTATTTCATTCGGTGGTCGCATATCTTTTAACTATTCCTCTGACAAGCAGGTCATGGAATACAGCCGGATTATTTGAAAATTGTGACGTTACGTTTCTCATGCACAAACCCAAGCTAGGTGGAAGAAGTCCTAAAGGAAACATATTACCATATTTTACCCAAATACGAAATTCAAACCTTTATTCACCCCGAATCTTAACTCAGTTTCACATTAATTTAAAACATCAAGACCTCTTTGTAAGACCACCACCCTTCGGTCGTAACAGGAAATCCATCATATTTTTCGACCTGCAGTCAGACATACGGAGGGAAATGTACAGATACATACAGCAGTTAATCGTAAAATATTTCCTCCCTGAACGCTTCGTTTTCCAACATGTTCACAATACCTTGTGGAATACGATCAATTATCCTCCTACCGGAACTATTGTGGCTCCCTTGGTCTTATTTAGTGTAAAGTTTCCCGATCAAATATTTCTTCTGTGCATTGCCTGTGACACCAAACCACCGGTAAGAGTTTCAACAATCGGGCGCAACATTTCCATGTCTACCATCGAAACGATGTGGTTCGCCTTAAACAGCAATCTTCACCAAAAACCTGTCCAAATCATTGTAGCCGTTCCCATAAATGTGAATCAATGCGATACGGCTATGCCCCATGCTAAACTGGATTTGACAAATTTCAAATTTTGTTCCATTGAATTACTTTCACAAACATTTAATTTCACCCTCACTCAGGGCAATATGGAGCCAGCTGTTTATTATTTTATACCTGATTATATGTTAACTTCAAAAGCACTTTGCCAAATTAGGCAAACATTTGTTATCTATAAAGCTAAGCATAATCCAGTACAATTTGTATATTTCGCCCCACTTCCTACCGCTTTTGAAGGATTCATTTCATTTTTATCACCTTTCAATTCCCTCGTCTGGGTTTCGTTGATAACTTGTTGCCTAATTATAACGTTAATTATCCAATGTGTGGCAAATTTAGAAGCACGAAATCAAGGCAGCGGAAAACATGTGAACCATTTCACCCGAGATTTCCTAAATGTTAGTGTAATCCTTCTTGGCCATGTGGATGGTGACAGTTTTAAAATGTTCTATAACAAAAGAACAGTGGCCACACCGATACTAATTGTTTGGTTCTTCGGTGCCTATTTCATAATTATGGAGAATTTATACATTGGATCAATCTTGTTTAAGTGCAATTCAGACACCTGTTTTTCCACCAAATTGGAAGTCAATGCTCGATTCTAAAATCCCCATTATTACTATTACGCTGCAACGTCGAAGTTGGCTCAATCCGTTCTAAGAAATAAACTCATTCCTGAGTATATAAATATATTCCAGAACAATCCTACTCTTGTTAAGAGGTTTCATCAATTATCCAAAAAAGTGCCGTATTTAAGTGGAAGTCACCAACGGGACGAACTAATAAAATTCGTACACAGTTTTAAAACTTTTAGAAGGTTGTCGACATCTAGAAATGAATCAATCGAAACAAGTAAAACATTCGCAATTATGGATGACGCTGCACATTTGAAAGTCTACGCTAAGATTGTTCAATGGTATGGCAACCGTCTAGTAATTCAAACCAAGCAGGACACACCTTTTTCCGAAATATATTTTGGACTAGCAAGCAGGAACTTTCTCCTCCCAATGTTTCTGAACAGATTCGGACAGTTTTTAAGTTTTGGGCTAGAGGACAGATGGAGGAAGCTGGAAGACACTTATGTTCCAATAAAAGCAGCGTATCGAATGGATAGTGCAACATAAAAAAAGTACTTTTCAAGAGCTATGTCAAATTCGAGAGAACCAAGATACATTTCACGATTCAGATCCTGTTTTACTGAAATCGGTCAAAGGAATTTTCGCACTGTGTGGCGTGATTCATACGATTTCTTTTGTAATGTTTTTTAAAGAGATTGCATATGGTAAGGGTATGCATTGTTAGATCTAAGGGATCAATTTTTCAGACGGAAATTAATCAGTGTCAGCGGTATTATCCGAGAACGTGTAGAAATAATTATGTTTAACAATAATCTTGTGCTTAATATCAAAAATATAAGCTACGCATTTCAGCGAAATAAAACATATTGAAAGTCTGCACACCGTCTTTCTGTTGGAGGTAATGAGAATTCGAATTAAAATTTAGAAACCTTCTGAACCCAATTTGTAATT